AGTTGGGAATTTTAGCCTTGTCTCTAGTATTTACAGTTTTGTAAAATGCTTGCTCTTGTTCTTCAGTAAAATTTCATGCTGTTACTTCTAAAAGCAGACATTTTTCACCCTCCGTCTTTCCTTTCCAAGTAATTCAGTTGAGAAGTTGAACAAGGTAATTTCAGGTAGGCTGGAAATAGAATCTGTCTCAGTGAACTGGAACCCTCTGCCTCCTAGGATGAGTGGGCTAAATCTGCTGGCTTAGATAGCTTGTTTATCACCAAACACTGTAAATGGGTCTTGGTTCAGAAGTGCAGCCCGAGAACCCTAATTGTTAGTTTTCTGTTGCTCCTACCGCCTAGCTCACTATGGAAGTCTATATTCGCTTTCCTATTAATGATAGGTTAAGACAAAGGACTGCATTTCAACTAAATGTCTTTCATAAAGCACTGCTTTAGGCTTGCTTGTGTTTTCTTCTCCCCTTCTTTAAGGGAAAGAAAACAACCACAAACCAAACAAACCTTGGCTTTTAAATTAGGTTTTGTAGTCAGCTGCCACTGCAATCATGACGCACACAAAAGCCCATGTGTTCTATATTTTGTCATTAATCTCTCATATTGTCTTGCAGTTGTACAGTTATAAAATTTGGAAGATTGAGAGGTGTAAATACCAGCAACTTTTTTTGGTATATACTGAGTTCAGTTTCTTCTGCTGTAAACTATCAGTGCCAACCTATATCAGGAGAATATGAGCCCAGCAATTCAAAACTTATATTTCATCTGGTATGCAGATGAAAAGGAAAAAAGAAAAAAAGAGCTCTGGATCTTGTTTCTTAACTCAGCACTGCAAAAGTTAGGCCCAGCTTAGCCTGTTCACCTGCTAGTAATTTCTTTTTTTAACTTTACAGTTATTTTGGTGCAAATGCAGTATACCCTCTGTAAATTTATTCTGTGTTTCACCTGGGAGTTTTCTGTAGTGTTGTACATGAGGTAATGGGCAGACTGTGAACCTAGAGCAATGGGGAACGAGCTGTGGCCACACTTGAGTGTCTTCTTATTGCTCATTTGCTTGGACCTGGGATGGCTCTGCGTGGATCTAGCAGCATGTCTCAGTACAAAGCTGCAGTGTGTAATAGATGTCTCCAGGCTGAGTGGAAGCAGCCAGCCTGCTTTTGAATCCTTGCAGACCCTGGAGGTGGGACAGTTACAGTTTGATGTGCTGGGCAGCACATGAACCGCACTGCATTTGAACGGATTTGAAATGTCCGCACTCTTGGTGCTCTAATTTACAGCCTGGGTAAATTGTTCACAGGTGATGAGGAGTTACATTTCAGTTACTACAATAGCTTGTTTAAGTACTCATATTGCTCACATTTTCTCAGAAAATTGATTTTATGTAAATGATGTAAATGATTTTATGTAAATCAGTCTGAATGGAGAAAACATTATTGAAATTATATGAACCCCCAAGCTTCTTTGAATCTTTTTAAAAGACCGGGGCAGGAAGAATGTCTGTCTTTTAACAACTTGAAAAAATGATTTTATGGTTCCAATATGAATTAAGATTCCTTACCAAGGAAACATCCTATTTCAGTGTTCCTGAGGTCAGCAGAAATGGTATGGTATGAGCAATTAATAGAATGGGTAACACTGTGCTGGTGGATATTGCACACATTGCATCTTGCTGAAAGCTCCATATGGTTGTCAAGAATCCTTGAAAAATCTAATGGTAAGCTGTGTCTCTGGCTAGAAGGGGACTCTGCAGAATTTAAAAGAGGAAGATTCTCTAAAACAAATGAACAAACAGAAAATCCCCAAACCTTTGTCGCTGAGCATAGAAACCCTGGGGAGTCTCTGTTGTTAGGAATGTAGCTGAGATATAGTGCTGTGAAGTTTCAGATCTCTGTTTTGTTACATGGAGTTTGGAGAAAAGGCCATGCACTGTAGATACAAAAGTGAAAAACAGGGCTTTGAAAAGCAGGTGCAGCTTCAGCTGGTGGGAGCATGTAGGATCTTCTCACAGGACTAAGGAAACAGAGTCTGGTTTGAAAATGAGATATTTAAAATGCTTCTGTTTGCCATTTACTCTTGGGCTTTAACCATGTTGCTCTTGTTTTGAAGCTTATCTTTGCAATCAAGAGTGTTAATGTCTGACATTGCAGATGCTTGGGCTTTTAAAAAAATATATTGAAAAACTTAGTGGAATCTTGTAAGGGTAGATGCTGATAGAGACAGTCTTTCTTACTGCTTTTAAAATCTGTTCAGGTCTTGAAAAAATGGTCAAAATACAGCAGTCTGACAGTAATTTGGCTGCATTTGAACTCCTGCAGCTGCTACTGTGAGTGCATCTGTATAAAAGGAAAACTGGAGGGGAGTTTCAAGGCAAGAAAACATGGCTTCACTCTTTCTAAATCTGAATGCATCTTCCCTTTTTACATGTGGCAGAGGTGCCACAGTAAAGGAGAAGTTATTTTAAAAAAAACCCAACAAACTCAAGGTAAGCCACTTTCTCCTCAGTTTGGCAGGAAAAACAAATTGTAAGTCACCACACCGGCACTGACTCCATGGCTTGTACATAGTCAAGCAGAGCATCTAGGCAATAAAGAGGATAGGTGTGATTTTCTTTTTCCTGGCATTTGCTCTCCTCCAGTGGATTGTCTTAAAAGTTGACATCATGCTCAGCAGTTAGTACACTTTAATAGGTAGTATGGAAAATACTGTAATTCCTGGAATTCAGTTCCACTCATCTGTAAGCAAGGTGATGATCAAAAGCCTAAATTTGCCTGTTCTGAATGAGTCTCTTTTTTGAGCTCTTCCTTTTGATTTCTGTCTTAGACCAACTCAAAGAAGGTAATCTTTTTGCATCTTCTACAATTTGCCTTTTGGTCAGCAGAATTAAAAAGGAGGGGGGAGAGGATCTTTTCAATTGTGCTTTAGCACAGATGCCCTAAGTTATGGATTTTTTTTATTTTTTTTTTTTTTTCCTCTGAGGATCCAGTGTCATGTTACAGAAAGTACTGGTCTGTTTTGGGAACTGTGGCACACAAATTCATATACTAAGGCTATCTAAAGGGAAGATAGTCTTATCCTCAGGGCAGAGGCCGTTCCTCAAAAAGCAGTAGAGTTGCACAGGCAAATGAATGTATTTTTTGGAGCTGGAGCTTTCTTTTCATTTTCACTTGCGTTGCAAATTCTTGGTTCCTTCTGAAAAAATTCTACTGAAAACTTTCTCTTGAACTTGTGTTGCCTTCTCTTTTGCCTTTCTGTTGCTCATCTTGCTGTTATGCCTCTCTCTCTTCCATAAGACTCTAGAGTAATAGTGAAACTGTGTTTGTCTAGACTGGGCGTGCAAAGGTAACTGACCTGGTGGTGTTTGAGTTAACCTTGGAGTTGAACGTTCCCTTCGCAGTCAAGCGGAGCACCCGTGAAACTGTGTTTGTCTAGACTGGGCGTGCAAAGGTAACTGACCTGGTGGTGTTTGAGTTAACCTTGAACGTTCCCTTCGCAGTCAAGTGGAGCACCCTGAAGGCAGGTTTTATTAGTTCAGGCACACCACCAGGCAGTATTACTCTTTGGGTCTTTGGTCAACACCATTGTTAATACTGCGCCAAATATAATTGCTGGAGAGGGACAAAGGGAATTTCAGAAACCTTTGCATCACTCTTCATTGTGAGATGTGGATACATCTTTCATGTTTGCATCTGCTGGCAGCTGTATTTATCTGTGGACCTAGCCTTGTCTTTTTGTGTATTTCATCATAGAGATGTACATTTGTTTGTAGCTTCTTTATAGTAAGTGAAACATGCAGGTAATTTGTTGTTGAGCTCTTAAAGCAGCTATGTATATGATACATTGGCTTGTTACGTGGATATTGAGAACTTAAGCTGTTGTGGTTTTTAAATGTATATACAGTGCACAGTTGACTTTTAGCAATTAAACTATGTTTAACCAGCATGATTATTTAATACCATTTATTATCTCACTTCTTTTATCTTGCTCTTGGCAATTATCAAAGACCTGACAAATTATGTCTCTATTGATGATGCATCTGCTTTTTATGTTTTCTGCTCTGCTTGCTTTTCTGATCAGTTTACTGGGAGATATGAATCTGACTCCAGCACAGAACCATGAGCTGTTTGAATTTTCAGTACAAGGAGTTTTTGACTCAGCTTATTATATCACTATTTTTGTGCAGTACAGTTTCTTCTGATGGATATACAAGGACAGTGCGTACTTAAACACTATTTTACTTGCTTTGATACAGAATTTTTTCCCTCTATTTTTCTGTTAGGTGTAATTATTGTTGCTAGTGAGATTTCCCGAAATAATAATAAAGAAATCCCACAAAATTATCAACAATTCTTTCACATTTGAAATACAAAATATGCATATTAACAAATAGTTTTGAATATGAATATGTAAGAGTATTTTCTGCCAGTGGACTGCAAAAATGGTTGTAATTTCTTAACGGGGAGATCGGTTTACACCTCCATGTAATGATTGTCTTGCAGGAACGTATACATAGAGCAACAGAATGAGATCCTTATAAGTATTTGCAAATAATACAGCATATTTTCCTGTATTGTCTTATCTGATTTTTTTTAATATTGTACAGAAAGTATTGTAATTATAGTTGTAAGAAATAAAGAACTCTGATCTCCTGTGGTAAGTATAAAGGGAAAAAAAAAATTTCCCACAGCATGCCAGTCCTTTGTAGAAAATGGTGTAGGAGTTGTTTGGGGAAAAAAAAAAAAGACACCTTATGCACATCATAATCCTGTGTTTAAATGCATTATGTATGGGAGTACTTAGGGACTGACTTCAGAGTTACATAGGTTTTTGATTTTTTTTTTTTTCTTTCCTGAGAGTGAAACACTTAACTTACTATTTAATTCTGTTGTGTTTAAGGAACGAATACCTTTCATTTTTATCCTGTAGAGTACTAATTCTTATTATTGCAATTAAAAAAATAAGATTTTTTCCTCTTTCACTCTTTTATTATGTTTATGTATATATTTGCAGATATGATTCTGGACCAGCAGGTGGGTTCTGGGCAGCTCAGTGAAGATGTTCGTCACAGAGTGCATGAGGCGTTACTGAAACAGCATCACCATCAGAACCAGAAGAAGCTGAGCAACAGGATCCCAATTGTGAGATCCTTTGCCGATATTGGAAAGAAGCAGTCTGAGCCCCATTCCATGGATAAAAATGGTAATGCGTTACTTTATTTTGCTTTTTGAGCTTTCAGTAACGTCTGACTGTTCAGTGTCACATGTGCTTTGTATCCACAGCTTGAACTCAACGTGATTCTGCTCTGAAAAGGTGCCATGTAAAAGTGGTACCTTTTACAAGAGAGTGGTTCCTCTTATGCATTCAGTGACAGACCTGTTTAAATTTGAAACTCAGGTATCCTGCACAGTTCAGGGCTGTGCAGAGATATCCAAGGGAACTAGCTGAGGTGTTAGAAGCAGGCTAGCTGTGTTAGTATGCCATTCTGTCTTGGGTAGTTGGCATGGCACATTATCCCCGGTGCAGCTCAGCTCAAGTGCATTTATGGTGCTTCAGGCACTCTGTGCAATCCTTCAGACTGAGCTTGAGCATCATCGCACTGTGTTGCTCTGAACTGTGGCCATGCTCCATTACTGCCAGAAATGTGATTTGACTATTTTTGACTTCTGCTGACTATCCAGGGCCTATTTAGTTAAAATGTAATGGATTGTTAGAATAGTTTCTAAGTCTATGACTGGATGCATTAGCTAGTGTTCACTGATGTTTCAGATTTCGTAGTTGAGTTTGAGGAGTTGGACAAAGAGAAAAACATTTTCAGGATGAGACTGTTGGAGAGATGCTCTGCAAGAACTCTACTTTGTTCTTTCAGAAAATCACTTTTTGGAGAATCATGTTCATGAAAAGGAGATGGCATGTTTGCAGAGGAGTTCTGCAGTAAAATATTGTCTTAACATTTTTCTTTTTTGCTTTTGCAGAAGCCTTTAAGAGCTCTACTGTTGTTAGAGGTTAATTGTAGTGAAAGAAAATTTCTGATTGCCTCTTCCTTATTTACATTAACAGAAGCCTGTGTTCTGAAACTTGCAGAAGAATTTTGCAAATATTTACAAATAATTCACTAGAATTATACATGGCAGAATTACTGAGCCTCTGTATGCAGTATTATCACAGTACCCACAACATTTTTGTCTGAACACCACTGGACTATAGTGACTCTTATTCCAGAAATCACCTTAGCTTTAGTGAAATCTCAGTCCCTTCTGCTGTCTCTCTGGTTCAGGGCCCTACTGAGCTCCTCTGTTGCCCTGGGAAGTGGGGAGTGAAGGAACAGTCCCTCCACAAGGAAGGTGGAGGGTGCAAGAAGCAGCTATGTACTGTGAGGCATAC